AAACTACTTGACACTTGCTTTCTACTGTCATTATGCTGTGCATTCAAAATGTTTTAGAACAAGGACAGTTAACACAAGACTGCATGTGACAGGTATTCAAAGTGCACGGATCTAGGAGACCACAAACACTCGAGATAAGAATACTGGGGCTGGAATTCAACACTGACTTACAAAATTAATCCGAGGAAATCTATGTACATGGTAGCCTTTGGCATCTGGTCTAATGTTTTTCTTCTTTATAGAGACATCATTTTGTTCAATCTACTAACCAGACTAAGTCAACCTTAAATGCATGTCTCATCTGACACAGATTGTCCACAGCCAATTTCACGTGAGGTAGTTGGGCTGTTTATTGACATTCTAGTGAAACTGTCATGACACTGGGGACTCAGACATCAAACATGCCATGACACCGGCTCATTAGCCTTCTGGGAAGCAAGAGAATACTTCTATCACCCTTCCTGTCATCCCGGACTCCACACACACCTATGGAGAGACACGTACACAGGAGTCTGTGACGTCATCCGTTTCCCAAGGAGTGCCAGCCATCCCAGGGTGGTTGCTGTTTATAAAGTACAGGGAGGAAATACTGATCACACTTTAAAATCTATGTAATAGAAAGAATGGTGCTCAAAACAAGCAGGTTTCTTTCTTGTGTTCTCACATAGCTTAGCTGAAAACATCTGTTCACTCTGAAAGAGAAGTGATTAAAAAGGGAAACCAAAAAAATCTCGCAAACTCTTGCATTACAGAGTAGTGGTAGGTCTTTTTCCTTTTAATGAAAGGCTATATCAAGACAGTGGAGGAGAAAGACCCATGCATGCGTCAACTGTACCACCACTGATCCCTGAATCATGCCCTGGAGTCCCTCAGTGCAGCAGTGCAGCGAGAAATCACACAAATGGCCTCGGCACACATGACTACTGGCTGCAACAGGATGGGGACCGGAGCGTTTCCAGAGAGGGTCTAGTGAACAGTATGTTCATGGAGTTGTTGAATGGATCCCTAACAACCTTATAATTGATAAGCAGTCTTAAAATACCATTAGAGAGCTACTGAATATCTTTTTTTGTCATTACTATGAAAGCCCTGAGTAAGCAACTGCAGGTTACAAAGGGACATCCGGAAGCAGAACGAAGTTCTAAGTAAAGCCCTCGATATGCGCCTCCCAGGGACACAGGTTTAGCGTACACACCGATGCCGCTGTGCAGCCTGTACCTGATCACAAAGAGCACCTGAAGTCAGGCCCTCTCAGACCAAACACTTCAGCTCAGCTAACAGAACAATGGCTTAAAAAATACTTTCCTTACAAATTCTAAATCTAAAAATGTAAAAAAGGTTGGTAGGTTACCTTAAAAATAAACAACCCACAAAACATCAGAATAGGGAAGCTGAAGAGTTGTAAAACCTAGGACTAAAACCAGAAGCAACTGATTTTAATCAATGATTCAGAAATGCACCATTAAGTAACCAACTTCTTGGGGGATGTAGTCATTTAAATAGAAAAAAACCATAAACATGTTTTCTTTCAGAAAGTTTCAGAAAGTTGCCTCACATCATCTTATATTGCTCATGACCTTCTGACTCTTTCTACTGCCTTAGATGTTTCTTCACATGTATGACTTTCATCATCAGATTAAGTCTCCTTAATATGATGCCTCTTACTTCAGCTCCCTTATCTCAAATTTAATAAAGAAAGGTGTACTGTATTTACTGGCTCCTACCACGTATTTCTCTTAATTAAAAGAACTGTTCCGAAAATATAAAGTTGAAAGCATTAACTTTTGGGAAATACACATATGTCCAATTAAGAATCAAAAAGAGAAGCCCGCACACTTTTCCAGCAGCGCTCATCGGAGGAGACGTCACTTCCCGCACACGGCGGCCACCTGCTTTATAGCTACAAATGGGAACGGAGGGTCTTTAAAGAAGCTCCGGAAGTCCAAGAGGGGAACAGAATCCGCACTGACTGGACACCTCACCCTGGGCTAGGTCTGTACCAGGTGCTCCCCAAACGCGTTAGGGGACGCTGCCAAGGAATGGGGCAGACCAGCTAAGACAGGCAATGGATTTGGTGCTCGGAGGGGGCTCTGCTGGCAATCTTCCGTAAGAGAAAACAGGAGAGGGAAGCAGTGAGGCTCAGCTATCCCTTTTCGTGCAAACTGACATCTGAGGAAGCTTTATGTTCGGAATGACATGCAAATAGTGATGACAAGGTGCCTCAAGCCACTACTTACACATCCTAATGAACACCACCTTTCAAAGTCCATTCCCCAGGGACTGAGATGTTCCACATCCTGAGAGCCCTGCTTCTAGAACCCCCTGCAGGGCTGGATCAAGAGCTGACAAGAAAATCATCTCCATCTCACAGTCATAAGTTGGTTTTGCCCCCAACAGGTATCCCTCCAACTTAACATTTTTCACCAGGATTAGCTACAGTTAATCAAACTTACTTTCAAAGGACAAAAAAATTTCCATCACAGAAAGGATTTTGTTCCGCTGGACAAATAGACATCGATCCCTCCTACGTGTCAAGTCTGGCCTCTCCTGTGGGGACAGGTGCACACATGATGAGATGCTGTGTTTGCCAACACTTCGTAAGGGATTATCCAAATGTTTCTTAGCTTCTACTGATACCAGAAGACAAATTACCTTTTTCTTCAGGATCTCTCTATAGGTTACTTTAAAAAAGGACTCCTAAAAATGTTTTGAGCAATGAGAGCAAGGTGATTCTTCTGTGCACAAGCATACTCGTGTTTTCATCCCCTCTCACTGGCTGGGGGGAAGAAAGCTGAGACGCCCCAGGGATCTTGGAGGAGCACAGAGAAAAGGTCTTACCTATCTCTTCACTTTGTTCCCATCTTAGGCGGTACCTGCAGAGTAGTACTTGAACTAGAAGCTGACGCCGTAGATCCAGGAGGAAGCTCGGACTGTGCCAAACTTCCGGTCAAGTTGAATTTATCACCTAGTATATCACCTTATCTAAGCTTTTATTTAGGACCGTCCGAGCTTTATACATCTCAGGCAAACTGAACATGCTCCAGTGAGGAAAATACCTGTCAAAAACCTTACCCCCTTTCTACAGGAGTGGGAAAAGGCGGAGTACAAAATACAAGCTATTCGTTATTCAAGCTATCCTGATCTGGGTTCCCAAGGGTCCTAGGGAATATTAAACCCTTCTTCCCCAGAAAACGGAGTTCTATAAACCAAGGCAGTACCTAATAAATGTGAAAGGGCCATGCTGAGCAGCTTTCTGTGTGTATCGGGAGCCTCGGCGGGCAATCTGTGGTGTTTTCAGTGTGCCGGCCCCTTCTCCAGGAGCCCACGCGAGGTCAGCTGAGGTGACAGGGGGTGGCAGCGGTTGCTCAGGACAGATACTTACAGTCTCCCGGGGGCATCCCCTCCCAACCGCACAATGCCTAAAGTGTCCTCATCCAAGGTTCAAGCAAAAACTGGCTGTTTTTTTCTTTTTCCCTTTTAGAAGGCTAAGTCAGGGGCAGGAAGTCGGAATTATCCTCTAGTTCTGCCATCATACTCACACTAACCAGAGGAGATCCACGCTAACTACTCGTGGGAGTGGGGGAAATGACACACCCCCTCAGCAGTTGCCAACAGCAAGTGCTAAAATACGAAAGAATTAATATTATTTTAGCACCTTTCTCCCCAGCCTTATAACATTTGTTTTTCTAAGTTTAAGCATTTTCCAGAAGTCCTTAGTGAGTGGAGTACCTGTTTCATTAACCTGAGCTAAATAAATGCTAATTTGTTTAAAGACAAACAAAAGTCAAAATCAAAACCCCTCTCTACATCAACCTCTGCCTAAAGAGAAGGTTCTCTTTGCCCCAGGAAAAGTATCATCTGAAGCTGCTCACGTAGCATTCACCTGTGCCCTTTGAAGGAGCTCCCCTTCTACTCTGGGGCACCACCTCCTGCTGGAACTTCTCTTCTAGCTACTAGAAGGAAGCAGCCCCAGGTGGGAAAGCCACCATGACTTCCCGCCCACACCCACTCATGGCAGCTTGGCCTACTAGAGTCTCCTGGCATCACACACTCTTCAGGAGAATGCCTACCCAGCACTGCTGGATGCAAGTTTAAATCCCACCTTTCAATTCAGACATAGTCCCAAAACTTTTGAGGTTGATAAGCAGCTGTAGCTGGCTTGCCCTTCACGACTGGCAATCATCCCGAGATTGGTCAGATGGCACATTCAGAACTGTGGTCCCTGAGTGCAACGTCCAAGCCTGCTGGCTGGGCGCTGCGGCCCGTGCAATCAAGAAAACTGTGAGTAAACTTGCTCCACTTCTCGCTCTCCCTTTAACTATTTTATTTCGATGAAAGCCTCTTCCTCTCTGGGAAAAGAAGGACCTATCATTTCGTTCATGCAGAAGATGGGGAGTCCTGTAAATCAGAATTTAAACTGGAATTCAATCTTGTGGATCTTCAACCCTGGGTGCAGGAGAATCACCCGTAAAGTTTATTCAAATGCAGATTCCTAAGTCCCACCCGAACTATTCTGGTTCTTCAGGTTGGGGTAAGGCTGGGGAATTTGCTTTTTGAAGAAGCACTCCGTGTGATTTTGATGCAGAAGTGGTCCAGATCACACTCTGCAATGACCTGCATCCTCTAATTAGAAGCTGTGTGACTGTGAGCAAATCCCTCAACCTCTCAACCTTACTTTTGAAATGGATAATAAGCCTGGATGTCACAGTTTCACTGTGATGTCCAATTCAGATGACACACGGGAAAGCATGCTGGCAAAGTGTGGGCACTAGATAGGGGTTATCACAGATGACATGTTGCTTCGCTGGCTTGGAGTTAGGGCACCACTCATCCCTTAGGAGCCACAGTCTCCCCTCACATAAACAGGGATGGCATTCCTTGTGTCTTCCTCCTCCCACACTGACAGGCCCACACCAGTGCCCCGAACACCTGGACGACACAGGCTCTTCTTGCCTACAAAGCCATGGAGAAGAGGATTCTCTGAATGTCTAGGAACACCAGACTCTACATTTCAATAGCTTCAACAAAGGGACTTAGCTTCCCCCCAGTTTTTAGTCTAAGTTGACTGAAACACTGGCTATGTGTTATATTCCTTGATACAGAATTTGCTCATCTTCAGCTTGGGTTTGGGAGGCTCATTAAAAGTAAAAGGTAAAAACAAAACACAATACCGACAAATTCATTTGTTAAATCTGCTCTTACAACTTGCTGTTCAATTCTATTAGAACAGCTATGATTTGGTTTCCAGGAGGCCCTTTGAACTGAAATATGTAGCACCTTGATTTTTAAACACACAAAAGACATATGCATTTTAAAAATTATATATAAAAGCACTAGGCTTTGCCTCCTTCTCTCCATCCCCCCCAAGGAAGGGGTTGGAGAGGGCTGAAGCTGCTGCTGGAAATCAAGCAGGGCAATGAAACACTTTAGCAGACTTTATTCCCTGAAGTTAGGAGGCGGCGCAGTCCTGCAGGCGTCATACCACCTCATCAGACTCCAGTCCGTGGACCTCGTATAAAGTGTCCAGGATCGCCAGCTGCTTTTCCATGGCAGGGAGGTAAAGGCTGAGGTCCCTCTGCATCCCAACACTGAAAGCTGCTTTCTGGTGGTCGCCTTCCTTTATGGTTAATGCGGCGACAAAATCTTCATAGGATGGAGCTGCCCTCAGAGCTAACTGCAAAAGAACTGCCCGTGAGAATCTGCAGCACGTCTCCTGCTGTTGCCCGCCATCCTCTTATGCACAAGTGCACACGCGCACACACACTCACACACATACACAGTGACTTGGAGAGCAAGAGGAAAACAGCAGGAATATACCCTTCCAATCCATGCACGCTAAAATTATATTTCAAACACCAACACAACAAATGCTAAGGCTGGAAGAAGCAAGTGTGTATTGGGCCATCCTGGGGATGAACGATGCCAACAAATCAGGGAGTGCTGAGAGAAATGAGTTTGAGGAAAGCTCCCTCCTCATGCCCAGTGTGATCCAGACTAGTCCCTCTGCATCCTCAGAATCCATCGCGTCCAAGTTGCTCCCACAGTCGTGTTCCCACGTAGCCAGCCTTCCAGGGCCCCTCACTCATTTGTGTCCCATCTCCACAGAGGCCAATCTCTCTTTTTCCCCACATGGATATTTCCTCTGCACCCTTGAATATTTTCTAAAAGGGAAGGGAGCTCACACTTGTTTGTGCACGGATGCTGTAACATATTTTATCCCAGTTAATGTGTATAAGGATGCTGTGCAGTAGATATCCCTATTTTACAGATGAACATTATATAGCTAATGAGTGTCAGTGCCAGGATCTGAACTTAGGAGCGACTCTGTGTGTTTTTCAACCATGCTGCCACACCGTACCACTTTCCTGGTGGAATAGTTCCTAGGCTCCGGATAGCTCTCTTCCCTTTGTAGGCCAGCTCTTCCCTAAGCTTGCCAAAATCTGCTGTCTGGGATCCACTGGATTGGCTCTGCTGACAGCTCTGGAGACTTTGGAATCTTGAATTAATTACTCTACACTCTTCTTGAGCTTCCTTACTCTTTAAAAGTCTTTGAGAATCAAGCCACTGCCCTTTTGCAATTGGAGAGTGACTGGCATGATCATGCAGTGGTTAAAGCACAGGCTTGGGTGAAGGAGACCTAGACGTGAATCCCAAATCTTTCACATGTTAGCTTGAGAAATTTAAGCAAGCTGCTTAACCTCTTAGAGCCTCCATTTCTTTCCTCATCTGTAGAAGAGGACTGGTACCACTTTCCTTATTTGAAAGATTAATGAAATATGTATGACATATTTAGCCCACTTTCTGACATGTACCAAATACTCAAATAATGGTAGAAGTATATGGGAGAGAGCAGAGAATGAAGGGAAGGCGATTATCTAAAAAATAATGGGAGAAAATCTCCTAGAACTGAAGGATATGAGTCTTCAGATTTAAAGACCTACCCAGTAACTCAGCATAATGAATGATAAAGACTAAAAGGAGAATATCATAAAATTTAGAAATTTTAGAATTTTAGAATGGATAAAGATCCTGGAAGCATGAAGGGGGTGAGGGGCAGTTTATATACAATGGAACAGGAACTAGAATGTCAATAGATTCTACAGCAGTAACAGTGGAAGCTAAAGGACAACAGAGGACTGCCTTCAAAATTCTAAGAGAAAATTATTATTAACCTAGAATTCTACAAAAACCAAAGCATCCCTCTAGAAAAGAAGGGCAGAATAAAGACATTTTCAGGCATGCAGGAACTCAGAAGTTTAGCTCCCTTGTACCATTTTTAGGAAGCTACTAGAAGACACCACTAAAACAAGGGATTAGATCAACAAATAGGAAGTAACAAAACCTGGGAAGTTAGTGTGAGATGGGGATTCAGCACAGGAAAACTTGTAAAGAAGAGTCCTAGGTCATAGCAGTACAACAGGCCTGAAGAGCTAATTAAGATAGGCATTCAGTTTAGAAAGTTCTGGAAGGGAAGTCTCCAAAAAAACAAAACAAAAACCAACAGAGATAACATGATATATCTATGAGTTCAGAACGATGGGTGAATTTTGGCTCATCTTCATCATGTTAACCTGTGATATAATTATATTGGGAAGGTAGAGGCAGGGGAAGGGAGGTAGAGATAGTGAGGTCTAAAGAAAGCTAAATTCTAATCATAACAGAAAGTCAACATTATTGACTAAAATTGATGAGGCCAAAAAGAACAGCAAATGTTGTTAGGCTTATGGAGGTACTAGAAGAAATAGTCACAGTAGTTGAAAGTGGCAGCCTCTTTGGAGTGAGTCTGGGAAAGTGTGGACAGAAGGCAGGGACTATTTTTTGTTATAACCTTTTTGGACTTTTGAATAGAACAACAAAATCAAGCCCTCTGCCCGTGTATTTAGGTACAATATAATTTGTGAAAAGTTTTCTCGAGAATGTATTTCTCAAAGGTTCCCAGAGGACTGTGATGCAGTCAAGTCTACTTGGGACCAGTGATTGAACTCAACTGAGGAGGAAACCAAAAAGGTCAAATGACAAATGGTTAGGATGCATGCTGGAGGCAGAGCCTGGGCTGGGCTTCCGTCCTGTGAATTACAACCGCCTGAAGATAAAAGTTCACTATTTGGCTGGTAAATGACTCAAATTCCTGGAGTGTAGATGATGATTCCTGGAGCAACTGAGAGCAGCTAAAGACTCTGCCCCCTGCTGATCACTTAGCACAATGGGAAACAGTATACTTTGTACAGTAGGGATGACTCGCGGAGTAACAGAAGAGAGTCTGGAAGGGCCAAGCTAGCTCTTCTATGCATATGGCTGTTGGGAAATGCTCAACATAATCTATTTTCTTAAAAACCAACAACTATTAAAAATTATTGGCAATAATATCAAGAGCCTTCAGAATGTTCTTCCTCTCTAACTTTGGGTGTATTACCTCACCTCTTGTGTCTCAGGTTTCTTTGTCTATGACAGGGTAAGTAAGAGAACATACTTTGTAATTATGAGATTACTAACTGTATGTAAAGCACTTAACAGCTGGTGCATGGCAAGTGCTCAAAATTCTAAGTTCTAATAGTTGTTAGTATTAGACATAACAATTCCACTTCTAGGAACCTATTTTTAGGAAATAAAAGAGTTTTACTAAAAAAGGTATGTAAATGAATGCTGTTGTATTTTTAACAACAGACTCGGAAACAGCTTAAATTTCTAACCTCTACAGAAGACTGGCAAATAAATCATGGCACCTCCATACTAGGAAAATATTATGTAGTCACTAAAAATAATGATTTTCAAAGACCCTTATGGCATTTAAAAATGGCCATGATAGAATCTGTTACGTGGGAGGAAAATACAAAATTATACAAGCTAATATCAAAAAATTTACATACACATACAGAGTATACAAAATAATTTTACAAATGTAACATGTAGATATAAAACTATAAATACCTATAGAGATATATACTTAAATATATAAAATTAAATAGAACAATATTAAAAGAATACATAAATATATATAAAAATAAAAGCTAAGAAGGTAAAACACAAAAATGTTAAAAATGGTTATTATGGAGTGGTGAGAATATGGACATTTTGATTTTTTCCCTTTCTATTCTTCCATGATTTCTATATTTTTTTTATGAGTATAGATTACTACATACTGGGGAAAACGCTATGAATTAAGAAGTCCTCTTAAAGACTCTTGCTTAGGTTAAATTTTCTGCTACACTTGCATTCTTGTCGGCAACATCTCTTGGATCATTACTACTTCAGGATTAAACTCTCACTTCTAGACCACAGCAACTACAATAAGATATTTATGTTTCTTGCAAATAGGGCAATTCAGTGTTTTATGCTTTGTCATCTCACCAGGGAAGCTGGGTTTCAGGCTCCTAAGAGCAATCGGTTTACTCGGGGAGATCACTGAATGTACCCCCTGCACTGCATAACTCCTCGGCGGCAGCCTCTCCATCACAGCCTCCAGTGCGGAGCGCAGTGATGCGGGCAATGCGCGCTAGCCCTGCCCACAGCGGAGCTGGGTGTAGACCCGGGCTCTCCCACAACTTCACTCTAGGACTCGAGTGAACAGTTCTGAACTTGCAGAACAGTGAGAGTACATCCTGAGGATTACCTAAGATAATGAATGTGGGAGTACCTCGCACTGTGCCTGGTCCACGAAGGTGTCCACCAGCCAAGTGGCAGCTCTCGTGACGATAATGGCACACGTACTGAAGGTAAGCGTGAGCACTCTGCAGCTGCAATGGCACTGGCTCCTACTGCAATGAGCGCCGGGGTATGGAGCTACTCATCTCCACGCATTCAAAACGCATTTCATTTCCCTGAACTTTACTTCTTCCACTGTCAATTCTTCCCACTTTCTTTACCTACCCCCTAATAAATCATGACCTAAACAGTGCTTACATCAGGCAAATAATGTCTCCTATCCTTTAAGTTAGTGAAAGACATGTGCCAGGCTATTTCTACCCTATGACCTTCCACAGAACACTCACTCTGTGGCGTTTGCTAGTGTGCCTACACAAGACTCTACCTTTTCACAGTTGTACCTCAGGCTGACCTCTCCTCAGATGACGGGAGAATCACTGAGGACTGCTGACATAAAGGGGCCTCTACTCCTGCTATTTTACAAAGCACGCTACTTGATTTGTGCAGGGGACTAGGATTCCCAGGTATGTGTTCTTCTTAGGTCAACATGCTGGGAAGGAAGGAGTAGCAGGGTAACAGGAGCCAAAACACATGAAGACAAACACCTTCAACAATGAAAAAAACTGACTAACAAGAGGTTTCTCAGAAGCCCTAGCTGCTGGCACAGCCAAGTGAGTTAATATTCAAAGATAAAATCTGACTAAGCGGAAGAAAAAATCAACTAAAACCTGAGAATTAAAAGGACGGAACACAATGGGCAGTAGAGGAAGCTATGAGCTTGAAGGCACCACTGGTCTCTCATCACTGCTGAATTTTCAGCAGCTTCCTGCCTATCTCTGCACTGATCAGACAGGCAACCAAAACCTCCACACGGTCACTGGAGCTGGACAGGGAAAAGCATGCTAACAGACTTTTCTAGTCTAGACATTTTTTATTGCCAACATTTCCATACAACAAAGACCTACAGACTTAAATAGACAACATTGTGTTCTTATTCTTGAGAACAAAGCAAACAGAAATGCCATGCACACAAAACAAACAAAACATCTTGCTGTGACCATCAGAACATTAGAAAGCAGGAGGATTACTTACCGCAAAAACCCCTCGAACCACCCAGCCGTGGTGCTGCCGTAATGTTTTACCATATGCGTTATCTTGAAAAGAAGAAAAACTCCATGAACCACGATTTCACCACAATCTGATGTGCTATTTGTAGCACCTCCTTTCTCAAGTACATGGTAGCACGACCCTATTGGTATTACGAACTGACGAGAAAAGTCTAATTACAAGATTATGTGCCCCTAAAAGTCTTGAGTAGGGAAAAAGCCTACACAGATTTTTTTTTTTAAGAAAAACAGATAATTCCATTCTTACCTCTTGTAAATGTATCTGAAATTCAGTTTATTACCATGGTGGGAAAAGTCCCATCTATATCAGGAAATAAGGGGGGGGGAGAATATTGGAAAAAAATACACTATAAGAATATAAAAATGCAGTTCTCTGAATGCTGTGTGACCCTAAGTCACTCCCTTAGATGTCCTCTCGGTTTCCCTTTTTGTAACCTGATCTCTCAGTCTCTTTTCAATTCTAACATTCTATTCTGAGATGTCAAATGTTTGTCCTAGGTGTCCCTCTGACCCTGGATATACAGTATTAAACCAAGAAACCTTTAAAACTACTATGGAAAGAATGGCTTGAAGTTACTAAGCTACTTATAAAGGACTTTGTAAGACCTATTAATGAAAATCATTCATATTCTAGACTTTAAAGATAAAAATCTATGATTTTTGTTCCAATGTGTTTTAAAATGAGATTCAAAAACTGGCATATAATAATTTTAATTACAAAAAAAATCTCAAGAACAAAATAATTGCATTTTATGCAAGGGATGTGTTCCTGAAGGATCTGAATAACACAATGCAAAATTCAAAACTGTTTTTTCCACAGGAGGAAATGCATTCTCCGGAGGCACAGATCTATATCACCACAGTGCACGTGTATCAACGCTCCATTTCATTTCTAAGTGGCATCTTCAGTGTTTACAGAGTGCTCATTCCTAAATAATAGCACAGGGTATCACGGGGATCGTCTGACCTTCTTCATCATGCTTTATCACAACTAAACTTTGTTCCAGGGGCGCCTGGGTGGCTCAGTCGGTTAAGCATCTGCCTTTGGCTCAGGTCATGATCTCAGGGTCCTGGGATCGAGCCCCATGTTGGGCTCCCTGCTCAGTGGAGAGCCTGCTTCTTCCTCTCCGTCTGCCTGCTGCCCCTGCTTGTGCTCCCACCCCCCGTCAAATAAATAAAATCTTAAAAAAAAAAAAACCCAAAAACTTTATCCCAAACTTAAGTATTTTCATGTGCTAGTTTCAGCACCAGTATAAGTGCCACCACCATTTAATCAATGCTTAAGTGACATTATAACAGGATATAGAAATATTTCAAATTATAAGAGCAGATGTTAAGATAACAGAAAAGCAGACACCAGAACCACAGCCACAAGTTTATGCAGTTAACAATGTGGCTCACAAAATACTGCCAAAGGAAGTCAGATATCTGCATTTTACTGGCCATGTGGCTGTAGCTTAAACACATTTTACAATTTACTCAAGCCCTCTAGCTTTGAAATCATGTACTTCTTGTCAACTTTTCTTTTTAAAATTTGGACGAGGCTTTATTAATACTTTTAGCACCCCCCACTATCAATTGTACATAATTCAACTTTGCACAAAATACAATTTGTATTTTATATAAAAGAAGACTATACATTTGAAATGTAACAGGTTTCTCTGGTTATCTAAGGTTTTAGGAACAGGTGGAAATGCCAGCACCCAATAAGTATGAAGACTCTTACAAACAGCTTAAAGGAGAACTCAAGATTCAATTTAATTTTTTTCTTAGGAGAACAGTCTGAATAGACTTAGGGTGTGCTCATAGATATGTCTTCAATGTGAGCCACCCTTTAAGTCTATCTGATTCTCCAAGGGGATAGACGGTATCAGGGACACTGCAGGCGGTATAAGACCTGAGCGAAGAAAGGGTTGCTGGCCCATAAGTGGATAGTGCAGATGGGCAGAAAATAGTAGGCACTGCCTCTGAGGTAAATCAGGAAGACAATCAACTTTCCACCCATCCTTTCCAAGAAGCCATTTGGGCTGGCAAGATATTGTACAGGTCCATGGGTGCTCACTCCTGAAATGAGTCACAGAGATAAGATAGTGGGAATACTTTATTTCTTGTGATCTTAATCTAGACGAAGTATTAAATGACATTATAAGTAAACAGATGGAATTCAATGACATTAAAATCTGGCAGACATCCACGATGGAATGAGGCTCTACCACACACTCCATACTGTGCAAGGTGGGGGAGATCCTTGGGTGATTTTAAAATAAGACAGTCCACTGCCCTCAGGAAGTCCCTGGGCTTATGAGAGCCAGCCATTTAACAAAGTGATATTATGTAAACTGACAACTGCTAAAGATGTGTATACAGTGCTTTTTGTAGGAATAAAAAGAAGACAGAAACGAACCCAGCCCGAAGACATGTGGACAAAGAAGTCTCAAAGGCTGGGTAGGGCAGAGAGAAGGGTGGTGGCTGGGGCTGCAGCCTGCAAGCACCAAGGAGCTGTGAGAGATGGGGGCATGCTGTGCAATGGGGAGTAGTTCACTGAGGCTGAAGATCACTGGGGCTGGGGCCAAATGGTGAGGACCTTTATATGCCATGCCAGGGATTCTGAAATTCCCATTGGAGGCCCAGTGGCACTTCTAAAAAATATAACACTTACCTGATTTTTTCTGATTTCACAAGTAATGCACGCTCATTGTTCAAAGTAAGGAAAACATAAAAAGGAGGGAACTAAAGTAACCTATAATCATGCCTCCTAGAGATAACCACAGTGGGCATTCTGGGGGCATATTCTCTTAGCCTTTTTTCCTACACAGTCTGTCCTATGATCTAACAGTCATGATCATTCTGATTGGGAACTGTGGTAGGGAAGTAACGAGGTGAGATTTACATTTCTTGACGATATGCAGCAAACGCAGCTGTCTTGGTCCTTCAGTCTTCAGCTCCAAAGCGCTCCTGCTGGACAATCTACCTGTTTACAGAGGTTCTGGCTCCAGTGCTACTCCAACCTCAGGGGCTCTATACTTTTCCTACATGTTGCTATTTAAGTTAACCTTTCAAAAAAGCCCAGAAACCCTTCTCCGTGCCATCTTCTTTAGGAGAGCCGGAAAACAAGGGTGCTGTGAGTCCCAACAACGTGGGCAGTCTGGTCTACGGAAGGGGGTGTCTGTACAGCAGCATGGTCTGTATACTCCTGCCTGGCCCTCCTAGAGGAGGCAGCCATTCCTTGCTGGGCCTGCGCCTTGCCAAGTTTGCCAGAGTGCAAAATGTGCGCCAGCAAGTCTAATAGAAGAAGGAATCAATCAGAAAATTTGGGCTAGGTCCTGACTCAGGTCCAGGAAGACCACTCTTACAATTTAAAACCAACAAATGAGAGAAAACTCGTTAACACACACACACACACAACTTGCCAAAAGTCCTTAGCTGACTTCTAGGGCTGCAAATAGCCCTGCCACATGAGGCTACATTAAATAAAATGAAGTCTAAGCGTGACCTATTTTGGTTACCTAGAGAAGATTAGATAATGAAATACATTAATCTTCACTGTAATATCCATTTATTATCATAACGGGTGTTCTATAATCTGGAAGTATTTTTGGCCTCTGAAAGACATAAATTATCCCATTCCCTTCTCCCAGATCTTTGAGATGTGTCAGTTCCTCAGAGACTGAATCCAAATTTCTCAGTAGGAAGCCTTGACAATCACCTTGCCCAATTCTTTTCCTTTTACAAAACAAGAAACAGAAGACCCAGAGAGATGGTGACTTGGCCAAGGTCACAAAGCTAAAAACAATGAGAACTTGGGGTATTCTTGTCACATTAAACCATTCTAAAAAACTAATGTTCACTCTTTGTGAGACAAAATAACGAAAATGAAAAATGTCCATTTTCCGGCAAGAATTAGAACCTTATTCTATTTATGGAAACAAAATAAATGTTATTTCTTTACTGGTAACTCAGAAATGTGCTGAGGTACATATGTATGTATACATGTATTAAAAGATTTTATTTTTAAGTAATCTTTACATCCAATGTGAGGCTTGAACCTATTAACCCTGAGATCAAGAGTCACCTGTTCCATGGACTGAGCCAGCCAGGCACCCCAGAAATTTGCTGAGGTATTTAGAGATTGATTATGCCTAAACCTGTTGTAGCATGTGAGAGAGAACAACTTTTCAATTACTGTTGGTAGATAACTGTTCTGTCCAGCAATTGCATATATGACAGTGTTTCTCTATTGTCAATCTGTAATTGGTAAGAATTTGTCAAGTTACTTTGGGTTGTAGTGAAGACAAAGGAGAAATGCCAATCTAAGTTTTAAGAGAGAGCTTAGTAGATAAGCAAAGCGGGGAAAGGTGGAGTCAATCATTCACTGAGTTTAGGAGATGACAATCACCCCAGCTCTGTAATGAACTATGCAGTCAGTCCTTGGCAAGAATTAGGAACCAGGAGAGGTTGGAAAGTGAATAAATCTGAAAAATAATAACTGAGTGAAAAATAATGTATACAATGTGACACCATGTATATGAGTTTAAAATATGCAGTACAATTCTAGATGCTATTTATAGATACATAAGTATACAGTAAAAGTATAAAAACATGTATTATATAATAATAAATAGCAAATTCAGGATGAAGATCTTCTCTGGAGAATGGAAGGAGTAACAGGGTTAAGGGGTGGTACATGGGTAGAGTATTGAACTGTTTTATATATTTGGTCAAGTGGTAGATATTTGCTAAATGTCTGAAATATTTATAATAAAACAAAAAAATAAACAACAAAAAAACTGAGCTAGCTAGGAAAGTACTGAATTCTTTAATAGTGACTAAGCTTCAGGCAAAATTAATTATATGAAGAAAAGCCAAATCAATAACCAATGGACAGAAGTGAAACAAGTATCCAGAGACACACCCTTTGTTAACTTTAGGCATCATCAAGACAAAAACGTGTTATAAGCCGCGTCTGCCATTCGAGAAAGGTGCATGTGGTGAGTAGTTTGGGAGAGGTCCTGACTTGATTCCTCTTCCACAGTATTTTCAGAATAACTAGTCAAGTTACGATTTGATTGTCAGTATCAGGTCATGAGTTCTGACTTTAGCTCTCTCACACAGGCCTCCTTGTCTGGGAAAGCTTTTTATATTAAATACATAACTGAGCATCTTATTACCAATTTTCCCATTCTGTGCTAGAGATCTTGGTTGGATGAATGTTTACCTGACATTTATGGAATCATTCTGAGGTGAGGGATGTGGCAATATGCTGTCCTGTTGAGGGGATCGTGCAGAGCATGTAACAGTACAATGGTGCATGAAATGCCAGAGCAACTTTTCTGCCTTCTACTTACAAAGAGGCTTTCCAAAAGCTCTTTTTGATGTGGCGTCTGCGAGTGGAGGGGCTCAGCTAGAGGGTAGGCCATTCAACATATCTGCCTTGTGGACCTAACTCTTCCCTTAGAATGAACTCTCGAGAATGCCATAGGACATTTAAGGGTTCATAGCAGCTCTTGACACGAGACCACCCAAACAGTCCACTCTGACCATCATGACAGGAAATCCAAGTGGTGGTTCAAATGCAAAAGGGGGCAGTATAAAGCCTAAGGCCTCTTTCCAGATGCTGGGAACTCAATCTAGGTCACAGAACTTCAGCAATACAATGACTATACATATATCCTCCAGAGATTTAATAGATGTCAAGGTTTCCATTGTGTCATTTCGGATTTTTTACATTATCACCTCTCATTTCCAAGGCCACTAAGATTACACAAGTTTTATCAACATTTATGAACATTTACCTTTTAAGCAGTGTTTTCAAATTTGGGAGTGCCAGTCAAGGTTTATCCTTAATTTATCCCTACTACCTTGCTGTTTCTAAGTTAGGAAAAATGTTGTCACTGGAGAACTAGCTAATTATCATGAAAAGGAGGCAAAATTAACTGATGCTGTGGCACTAATCTCAGTGCTTTTATTCCAGTTTATTCATTAATCACTCAGAAGCAATCAAAATTCCCAAATAATCAAAATGTAGCCTAGTACAGGTTAGCCTCAATGTCCTAGCTCTACTGAGTGGGTCCCAAACTTTGACCTGGATTAGAATCACCCAAAGGACTTGCTCACATGGATTGCCGTGCCCCATCCCTGGTGAGTTTTTATCAGCAGGTGCTGGTTGGGGCCTGGTAGCCTCCATTCCTAATAAGTTTGCAGGTAATGAAGATGCTCTCTTTGGACCATTCTGAGAACCACTGTTCTAGATTTGAGACCCCTGGGAAGGTATTTATCCTCTCTAGACCTCAGTTTACTCACTGTCAAAAAGGAGTATTTGTAAGATTAAATGAAATGTTTCTCAAGAACCTAGTGTCATTCCTACACTGGGTGCTCTATAAATGGTAGCTGCTATTACAATAACTCAAACTCAGTTTTAGAATCTAAAACATGCAAGCTAATTTGCCTATATAAATATAGGCATAAACCCTTTCTTTTACCTACATTCCTGAAGTCCCTCATTTCAGACGAGGTATCGGTTCTACTTATAAAGGCTATGATTTCAAAATGAGAAGAGAAGCTGTTGACCCAGAGAAATCCACATCAAGGAGCCTATGGGCTCTAAGTAGTTAATGTGCAAACACTTCTTATAAAGCTGTATTTGTTTGCACAGAGCTTGTTGTGTCAACAACTGGAAGGGAGGGTGGGTGGTTAGGAGAACTTTTCTTTACACTGAACAATGGCAGGAAACTAGGGACCCCTAGAAGTAAAACTATGATTTAAATCATGAAAATTTCTGAAATAATCCTGAACATCAGAATGAAAATCTCAAGTTTACAGCCCTCCTTTCCCTCCCATTGAAAATAGTGCTGAAGGGGGAAGAGAGGGAAAGAAAAGCTGAGACTGACTGTGCTTATTTTGATTTTGAAGCAGCATTTCCCCTTCTAGTCTCCTCCCACTTCAGAAGGGTCCAGACTCCAAATCAAGTAAAAAGAAAGTGAGAAAAAGGACAGAATTAGGGGCAGAGGTACAGCAGAAAGGGGACATCCTCAACTTCCTCCATACCTCCAGGGGCAAAGCTTTTCTTTTTCACTTGTGCGTCCAGTAAGCAGCTGGGTTCTACTCTGCCTCCACTCCAGCGGAGGGGTGAATGAGGTCGGCGCTCACAGACAGCCTGGTCCCTCACAGAGACAGCCATAACAAAGCAACAGCATCATGTGACCCGTGGAGCCCACCAGGCACACTGCTGAATCCCACAGCTTCTGTATTTCCTGCAGTAGAGGAATCTTCGTCCCCGTGTAAAATTTCCACGCTAAGAAGTTTATGGAGAGAAATTTCTGGCTTGGCACCAGAGCTTTGTAAACTTCTCATTTCTGATTTGGGACAAATAAGCTCCATTTTCTGACAGGTTATCAACTTCTTATGTCATGATGATGAAATATAAAAAAAAGAAACTAACCTCTATTAAGTATTTATTATGTACCACTTTAGTAATCTTTTTATGTGCATGAACCTATTTAATCTTGACAAAAAACGTTTTTTAGGGAAATGGTATCATCATTCCCATTTTATAGATGAGGAAACCAGGAAACAGTAAGGGTAAGTAGATTGCCTAAGGACACAATGCTATCAAGTGGTAGAATCCAGAAAGCCCAAGATCTTCATCAGTCCACATGTCATAAAGTTCCATGATACTGATTAGGGGACATGAATAGTTACAGTGAAAATACTTTTAGTACTGAAATCAGGACATGTGGGGAGAATACAACAGACTGTCCTAGAAATTCAGGGATGTATGAGAAGCCCAAAAAATACAGGTAGCCCAGGGATGGTGGAGAAGACCTTTTGTGGGAGAAATGAGGACTTTTTCTTTTTTTTTAAGATTCTATTTATTTATTTGACAGAGAGAGACAGCGCGCGCATGTGAGAGCATAAGCAGGCAAGCAGGGGGGAGCAGCAGAGAGAGAGAGGGAGAAGCAGGCTCCCCGCTGAGCAGAGAGCCTGATGCAGGGCTCGATCCCAGGACCCTGGGATCATGACCTGAGCTGAAGGCAGACGCTTAACCAACTGAGCCACCCAGGCACCCCGAAATGAGGAGTTTTGAGGCAGGGGGCTCAAAGTGACTCTGCTTCAGATCTTTTGTGGCCTTAGCACGTATTTTAATCTCTCTGAATTCTGGATACCTGATCTGCAAAAATGGACTGATGTAAGGGTTAAGTTGTCTAAATTCTTCATAAAGTGTTACAGAAAAACCAGTTTTTATTGTTTCACGGCATATCAGTAAGTTTCTAGAGAGGAAGGCCTGAGAAAGTCACGTTGGGGCAGAATCCCTCAGGACTCATGGCCCAGAGGGAAGAGCTCACTCCTGACACCAACAAAACGCTGCAGTGAATACTGGCTCCCCTTCCACAGCAGAAGCATCTAATTCATTCATTTCATTATTTTTAACTATGGCTACTTAGAGCTTGACCATGTGCTTCTCTACATCACAATAATAGAGGGCCTCAAAGTAATATGGAATTTCAGTACCCACTCCCTACCCCTCATGCCTCAAGGCCCATGCTGGGAGAATTTCTTTTAGGCGAAGAGTGAGAGTTCAGGCACTCTGTCAAGAGCACTGTGAGGATGCTCCCAGGTTAATGTTTTCCCAAACTGATCTGACAGATCCACCTCTACTCACCCACCCAGTGTTTATTAAAAACCTTACGAGGTTCCAGTCCCTGCTAAAAGATGCTGGAGATACAGGATGACCTCTGACCAAGGTCTTCATCCTGGTCTCAGCTCTACCACTACAAACACGAGGCATTTAAGGAGTACAAGATGATGACGATGATGATCCACCCTTTCTCTCACTCCAGAGCAAATTCCTAGGGTTCCCCAAACCCTCCCTGTTATGGTCTCTAAAACTAGCTTCTCTTGGGATATTGATTTTGGAGAACTGCCCTGTATTTGAAGATTAATTTAGGAAGAACTCACTTCTTAAAAATATTAGGCTTTCCTATTAAGAGATGGCTCTCCATTAATTTAGCTCTTCTTTAAGATATACTGATTTTTAATAAGTTAGATCTACATTACGAGGTCATTATCTCATGGGTTTTTTTTTAACAGAGCATATAAGAAACAAACAATAATAATCAAGTAGAAAAGAAACAAAATCAACTTCGGAAAAGCAGAAATTTTCCCCTATATGCTGCCCCTAGGGGTCTCCATTCCATATCCTACTCAATGGAATGATCAAAATGTAAAGGATACTTACTCAAGGCTGTCTGGATATCCTTTTCTCCATTTTTCACTTCTGTCAAAAATCCCTTCAAAAATTTGAGACCTCTAAAACAAAAAGAGGAAGAAATATTATTTTCAAAGTTCACTTACATTGAATGGGTATAAAGAAATGGCAAATATCAGTGTCTTCTTCAATAATATCTTAAATATTGCAGCAAACAGGTCAAGTCACATGGCAGTCCTTTCTGACCTTCTTCCCTGTCATTTCCTTTTAGTTTACTCTAGACCCTTCTCATCTGATCTACCTAAACAGTGGTTTCCAAAAAGTGGTCCTGGGGCCAGTGGGAACTTGGAAATGCTAGTTCTGGGCTCCTACTCCAGACTTACTGAGTCAGAAAGTCTGAGTCTGGAGTGGAGCAATCTGTGTTCTTAAGAAAGCCCTTCAGGTGATTCGGATGCTACCGAAGTTTGTGATCTACCGACTTAAAGAGAACCAGTCAACTCTATCATCCTTTACGATTCCTTTCTTATATATACTGTTAATATTAACAATGTTCATCAGAAGGGAGGAAAAAAAGAGTTGGTGTTCTATTCATCAGGCCTTCTAGAAAAGGCTATTGTGTTAGATTCTCCACTCAGAAGTAGTCTTTGCATAATACTTTTTTTGCTGGTAGCATTTCAACTGAGCTGGATTTCAACTGCTGCCCCATTCCAGCTGCCTCACCTCTTCAGCCACAAGAGGGCTTCTGTAGCTGAGTTCCTAACCTGGGCTACGTCGGCCTCCACTTCATGCAGCACTATCTTCTGGAGGGTGGTGAACTCTTCCTTGTTGGTTATATACTTCTGATTTACTTTCTGCAGGAAAAGCAGGGAAACAATCTAAGTTAAAAATGCTAAAGCTATCAAGTAAATCAGTATAGTATTGAGACTGATAAGCTTGTCAAGCAGGCTTTTAAGAAATCAAAATAAATTAAGCCTCTATTACCTTTTTTCTTTTGTTTTCAAGGTAATGTGTTCTTGTTTGAGAATTTTTATGAGGCTTAAGCTAGAATTAAATAGTCTCAAGGCTTTAAAATACTGTTTTTAAAGTATTTTTTTCTGCCTCAGAACCTTTCTCACAGCTGGCCTATACTTTTCATCTTGAGTATAAAACTCAACAATTACGTGTTTCTGAATGAGATTTCATGCACTACTCCCTCCAAGTGTATGGTCTCCATAGAGATATGCTAGTATATTCACCTTAATATTTCCAACAAGATCCATTTTAACAGGAGCAAACACCGTAGGGCCAAGTTTGTCTAGAGGAAAAGATTGAAAACCTCTTTGAAAAAGCAATTTTCTTAAATGGCAAATATTTTTATAGTAACAAAAAATTTAGCATGTTTTTCTCCCCAAAACTTTTATTTCCTGTTTTTAAATCATTTTCCAAACATAAGTTTTCAAAGACTTCTAGGATACAGTCATCACAAAATACATACTAGATTTCAAAGACTCAATATCAAAAAAATAATGCAAAATATCTCATTGATGATTCCTTTATATTGATTACATATTGAAATAATATTTTGGATATACTAGGTTATATAAAATATATTATTGAAATTAGTTTAAAAATAGTTTTATCTGTTTTGTTTTACTATTTATTGTGTCTGTTAGAAAATTTAAAATCATAAATATGGTTCAAATATTTCTGTTGGACAAGAACAACTAAAAAAATAACAAAGGGGTACAGCTAAAAAGCCAGAAGAGAAAAAATAATGGAATTCTAAAAAATATTGGATTGATTGGAAAAAAAAGGGGGGGGAACCGAGACAGGAACAAATATAAAGGAACAAATAAAAAGCTAAAACAGGAAATAAAACAGAATAAAAAATAACTAATTGGCTAGAATTTAAGAAAAATAAAAAAGGAACAAAGAACAGATAGGACAAATAGAAAATAAATAGTAAGATGGTAGAAACAAACAGTTAAGATAATACATGTAAATTTATTCAAACAATGTAATTCACTATATACAAAAGTACAGGAAAAAACCCCACAATTTCAATAAATGCTGAAAATGTATTTTATAAAATTAACTCACTCATGATTATAAAAAACTACTCAAACACAAAAGTCAGTTGTATCTGTATGCTACCAACAAACAATTGGAAAAATAAATACTCTTTACAATAGCATCAAGAATCAAAATTCTGGAGGGTGCCTGGGTGGCTGAGTTGTTAAGCGACTGCCTTCAGCTTAGGTCATGGTCCCAGGGTCCTGGGATCCAGCCCCGCATCAGGCTCCCTGCTTGGCGGGAAGCCTGCTTTTCCCTCTCCCACCTCCCCTGCTTGTGTTTCCTCTCTCGCTGTGTCTCTCTGTCAAATAAAACCTTTAAAAAAAAAAAAAAAGAATCAAAATTCTGGGGTGCCTGGGTGGCTCAGTTATTAAGCATCTGCCTTCGGCTCAGGTCATGATCCTGGAATCCCAGGATCAGAGTCCTGCATAGGGCTCCCTGCTCAGTGGGAAGCCTGCTTCTCCCTCTCCCGCTTCCCTAGTTTGTGTTCCCTTTCTCGCTGTCTCTCTGTCAAATAAATAAATAAAATCTTAAAAAGAAAAAGAATCAAAAAATTCTAAAATGTATCTCTAACAAAAACTGTGTAAGACCTCTGGTGTGGGAAACAAAGGCAGAAGAAAAATTATTAAATTTCCTTACTACCTAGAGCCCACTGACAAGTCCTTGAAACAGGCAGTGACATTCTTCTAGGGACTCAACTGCCTCGATGTTAATACCTTGCTAAGGGCAAAAGGCAATCCTAGCCCGAACCCACCCCCCAAGACCCTGTAAGTCTACTTTAACATATAAAATTCCTTTGGAAACTTCCTTTATCTCTAATCCCCCAAGATATGTGTTGGCAATCATCCCCAAGCATATGGCCCACCAATATACATGATTAATAAAACCTTAGTCATGAGACCCTTCAGATGTAAATGACCTTTTCCCAACAATAGCTAGCCCCCTCAAGGTCCTGGAAACCTTGCTTCCAAAATTCCTTAGAGACTTACACTATCCCTACCCCCTCCCAACTTGAAAGTATACAATGGGCCACTCCTCATGACCCCAGTGCCGCTCTTTCTGCCCACGGGTCCTGTCCCCGTGCTTTATAAAACCACCTTTTTGCGCCAAAGATGTCTCAAGAATTCTTAGCCATCCGCTTCGAACCCTAACATCTTTCTTACATCAACCTCTACACTAAGAACTATACAAAACATTGTGAAAATAAAGAAGACCAAAGTAAATGGAGAGATATAGCACGCTCTGGGATTAGAAGACTCAAAATTGTTTAAGATGTAAACTTCCTCTGGTTTAAAGATTCAATATAATCTTAATCGAAATCCCAACAGGTTTTTAAATAGAAACTGGAAAGCTATATGGACATGCAAAAGACCTACAACTGCCAAAATCTTGAAAAAGAACAAAATTGGAAGACTTACATTATCTGATTTCAAGCTTTATTATAAAGGCACAGTAATTAAGACAATATTAAGTATTAGCATAAAAAAAATAAACAGACCACTGAGACAGAAGACAGAGTCCAGAAACAGACCCACACCTAAAAGTTCCACTGATTTTCAACACAGCTGCCAAAACAGTATAAAAGGGAAAATAATGTTTTTTTCAAGAAATGGTCTTTGAACAGCCAGATATCATAAAGAAAAAAAAAAAAACTCAACCCTTACCTCACACCATATGCAAAAATTAATTCCAAGACATATAAATGTAAACATAAAATCAAGACTAAAGGGGCGTCTTGGTGGCTCAGTCATTAAGCGTCTGCCTTCGGCTCAGGTCATGATCCCAGGGTCCTGGGATTGAGCCCTGCACTGAGCCCCGCATCAGGCTCCCTGCTAGGCGGGAAGCCTGCTCCTCCCTCTCCCACTCCCCCTGCTTGTATTCCCTCTCTCGCTGTGTCTCTCTCTGTAAATAAATCAAGACTAAAGGGAATAGAAAACACATGAGAATATCTTCATGACCTTGGGTGTAAACAAAGATTTCTTAGGGCACTGGAAGTACTAACTTTATAGTTAGTACATAAAAGAAAGAAAATAGATACACTGGATTTCATGAAAATGAAAAACTGCCCTTCAAAGACATCAAGGAAAGAAAGCCATAGTTGGGGGAAAATATTCATAATGATGTCTACAATGGAATGCTTTTGAGAATATATAGTGAATGCTTACAACTCAATACAAAGAACATTAACCAACTTTTAAAAATGGATTAAAGACTTGAAAAGACTTCACAATGAAGGAGACAGCAATGGCCAATAATTATATAAAAAAGTGCTTAACATCATTAGTCATCGGGGAAGTGTAAAGGGCAAGGGCACCCCAAGGTGGGCCCCTTGAATGTGAAGATTATTGAGTTAAAAGCAATCAAAACCCAGCAGATTCAGGAAAAATTCTTTACCTTCCCCCTGACTGCTTAAATTTACATTGGAAAGGAAAGCCTGTCCCAGGAAGAATGCAATTAACAGATTCCTCTTTACTTAAGAGACTTATGTGCATTAACAGGGCAGCCTTGGTTTTCCAACCATCTCATCTTACTACTAATGGTTTTCCTCTTCTTTGTATCCCCACCTCCAGGCCCCTACCTCTTTCCTTAGGTCAGGATGTCATATAAGCCTCATGTTCCCTATCTTTGGAAATTTCATATCTGTGTGGATTCTCTGTATGTACAGAATTAAATTTGATTTTCTCCTGTTACTCTATCTCATGTCAATTTGATTCTTGGTCCACCCAGAAGGACCTTGGGGGCAGAGTAAATTTCTTCCTCCCCAACACAAGTTAAAGCCACAATGATACAATTAAACATTTAGAGGAAGAGCCAGACAAAAAAACCTCAATACCAACCAAGTGTTAGTGTAGATGTGAAGCAACCAGAATACTCATACATTGTTGTTGGAACTGTATGACTGTGTAATCACTTTTTATAAAGTTAAACAGATGAACCCAGTGAATTGGCAATTCTACTCCTAGGTATTTACTCAAGATATGAAAAAATATGCCCACAGACACAAAAATATTCAGAGCAATTTCATTAATATAATAGCCCAATAAGAAATTTCATTAATATAATAGCCCAATATTCAGAACAATTTCATTCATATAATAGCCTAATAAGAAATTACCCAAATGTCCATCCATCAATAGAAGAATGAATAAACAAATTGTATATTCATTTAATAGAATACTATTCTGCAATAAAAGTAATGAACTACTGCTACATTTAACAATAAGGATGAAAACATTACACTGAGAGAAAAAAAAACAGATGCAAAAGAGTAGATAGTATGATTCTCTTATATGAGACTTTAGAAAAGGCAAAACTAATCTATGGTGACAGAAATCAGTAAAATAGTTGCCTTGGGCTGGGTGATGGTTGTGGGTTGACTGGCACAGGGAACATTTTGGGGTGATGAAAACATTTTACATCTTAATAGGGATATATATGGATTACATAGGGGTACATGTGTTTGTCAAAACTTACTGAATCATAATACTTAAGTTCTATGTAAGTTATATCTCAATTTCAAAAAAGATATGTAAAATTTTTTAAAACATGAATTAAAAAAAGATGCATAGCTGAATAGCTCATAAAACAAATTTCAACACATTAGTGATGTCTGTTCTACTGACTATATAAAAAGCAAATGTAATTGGAACTTAAATTTATACATATAATTTTTAAATCTTTGCAAAAAAAAATTTTTTTTAGAGATTTTTATTTATTTGACAGAGAGAGACACAGCGAGAGAAGGAAAATAGGCAGGGGGAGTGGGAGAGGGAAAAGTAGGCTCCCCGCCAAGCAGGGAGCCCCATGTGGGGCTCAATCCCAAGACCCTGGGATCATGACCCGAGCCGAAGGCAGACGCCCAACTGAGACCCCCAAGCTCCCCTGCAAAAAATGTTTTAACTGGTATCATTATACCAATGGATTTGAAGGTCTGTTCCTCAACTACTTTACTCTTGCTTTTAAGTATGATTTCTTGAAAATAAAATTCCCTTTTATCCTTATACTACTCTGTGGTCAATACTTATTCATAGATAGGAATAAAAAGCAAATATGCAATAATGCTCAAGGCCATACAGTTTTAATTGCATGTGGCTGGTGATATGGAGAGGTAGCCAAGAAGGGTCATTTCACTGTACATATAGTTCAGGATATTTCTACTATAAAATAACAGCAGTGAGACAGATTCTAGAGACTAATGAATTTAAGACAAATGCAGTAATCTTACCTAATACCGGAACCACAGCATAACAGGACGCCAAGAATGCTTCTGTGGGAATGCCACTGTCTTCCAGAAGTTCAATGTCACTAAAGCTGAACAATTTGGTGACACAGAAGGGGAAAGATTGAAAATACAACATTAACACTCTCTGCAGTTCAGAGGTAGTCATGAAAACAGTTGCCCCTCTGTAGAGCAAGTCACTTGGCCTGATTTCAGTGATTGTTCTTCTATTATAATATGGTCCAATAAAATCATTTTCCAAAGATAATCTACCAAAGCAAGCTAAAATATGTTCAGGGTATAGTGTCACAATCCAATTCCTCACTGCTTCAGAAAGGTAAAGCAGATACTTAGTATACCATATCCTCTGTTCTGTTAGACTATGCCATCACCTGAAAGGAACACCATGATTGCTTTTCCAGAAGGGAAGCTGGTATCCAACTGTCCCTGATTTTAGAAAGTATAGAATACCTGGTATTCATGGTACTAAAGAAAGTTGGGATGATTTCTTGGCCTTCTTCCCAGTGGGATTCCGGAGAGCTACTTGAGGAGTCTGATGCAGGCTGTGCTAAGCTGCTGTCATGATTTCCCAGGTTGGCCTCTCCTTCTTCCTTCATGATCTCACCTTGGACTACACATAGAAAATACCTATTACTAAACTATTATTTACATACTACAAAAATTAATATATATTCATTGTTGAATATTTCTAAAACAGAGAAGTTTACAGAAATAAAAATCAGTGAAATACTATATACACAAACAAAATCGGGTTTAAATATATGTAGGTTTGTATCCTGCTTGTTTTCACTCAACAGTTTATCAGGAATATTCTCATTATCATTCAATACTCTTTAAAATGTGATTTTAATGACCATATATATTGCATCAAGCTCATGTGCAGGGCACTTAGGTGGTTTCTAAAATTTTAGTGTTATAAATACAGTCAATCCTCATTATTAGCATATTCTGTATTTGTGAATTTGCCTTCTCATGATAGTTTATTTGTAATCCTAAAATCAATGCTTGTGGCACATCTGCAGTCATTTCTAGACATGTGTAGATGGTGAAAAATTTGAGTCGCCTGACATACATGTTCCCAGCTAAGGTCAAACATGGTAACAATTTGCCTTCTTGCTTTGGTTCTTATACTATACACAAGGGTGTTTCTGTAGGGTCATGCTTTGTGCATTTTGTTATTGATTTTGCTGTTTACAGATGCCTCCAAGTGTAGTGCTATCTACTGTTCCTAAGTGTAAGAAGGCTGTGATGTGCCTTATGGAGAAAACACATGTGTCAGGTAAGCTTCATTCAGGCACGAGTGATAGTACTGTTGGCCGTGGGATCAATGTTAATGAATCAACAATACATATTAAATAAGGTGTCTTTAAACAGAAACACACATAAAACAAGTCTATATACTGATCAGTTGACCAAAATGTGAACAGAGGTTTGTAGGGACCAAACTCTTTATTTCCCCTAGAAGCAATGGTTCAGTATTTGCTAGTTCAGTGTCTGCAGTAACTTCATAGAACACAACCATGAATAATGAGAATCAATTGTAATGTCATAAAGAATATCCCTGTCCACATATATTTGTCCTTAAACTTGACTATTCCCTGGAGACAAATCCCTAGAAGTAAAATTATTGGTCAAAGAACAGTACTGTTTCCACAGAAAATCTCCTATCTTTATTATTTACTCAAGGGATAAAACTTCAGTGATTCAGTGGATTGCCTGCCTCAGATTAACAGCTATGAAATGCATCTTCTTTCTCCCCAACTCATCTGGAAAAAACAGGGTCTTATTTCAGGGGAGAGGAGCAAGAAACTTGTTTAAAATTTTATTTTCAAAAATATTTATTAAACACTTACAACACAAATAAAAGCTCTAATACGGTTGTCTTGGACTAATCTGAAGCTGGTTTTAGTGGTTAGAGCCAATGGAATTAGCAAATTTGAAAGGATGGCATTTTCAACTACAAGCTATTACCTGAAATGTGGGACTCTGGCTTGATGGACACAGAGAAGGCTGGGTGAAAACCTGATGGGTGGGTTGGTGAACTCTGCCGTTCTCTGGCCTTGCCAGGAACGAGGAGAGCAACCTGAACTGCCACACCTTTATGCTCTGTTAAGTCTGACATCATAGTTTAAGTTCAAAGGATTTTGAGACTTAGAGTAGAAGGCCAATGAAGCACTCATATTTTCTACAAAGTCAGCACAGACAGCTGCTGCTCACCACAGCCCACAGACATCACAGATAAGAACAGCGAGTGGGAAAAAAACCTCTCCATTCTGACTTTTCAACACTGGGTCGGATGGGATGGCACAATGTGGTCAAGTGACCTGTGTTACCAAGCTAATGTCTGCGTTACTAGCTACTAGTATACTGTCTTTTTTTAAAAGATTTTATTTATTTGACAGAGAGAGACACAGCGAGAGAGGGAACACAAGAGGGGGAGTGGGAGAGGGAGAAGCAGGCTTCCTGCTGAGCAGGGAGCCCGATGCGGGGCTCGATCCCAGGACCCTGAGATCATGACCTGAGCCGAAGGCAGACGCTTAACGACTGAGCCACCCAGGCGCCCCTACTAGTGTACTGTCTTGAGGCCAATCCCTATCAAGTATCACATCATGGATATACAATCAAACTCCCAAGATCAATGGTTTGGGCTCAATGGTTTGGTTTGGTTCATACTTTACTTTTGTTTTTACCTGTTATATTATGATCTGTATTTTCTTCACTTGATATGCTGCAATCTATCTCTGCAGGTTTCAAATATAAGGAGCTCTTATTTTTCATTAGGATTTCTTCATCAGCATTTATTTCCATATGTAAAGATCCATTTTCACAACTGTTCAACTCCATTTGCCTGAAAATTTTTTATAAGGAGAAAAGCCAAAAAGTCCAATTATTTGGTCTTAAATAGACCGCCCAGGTAGATCTTATTCTGAGAAAGGAGGGAGGGGTTCACAAGCACCAACTCCTTTTAACAGTGATTAAAAACCAGTATTGTTGAATCAGCCAAACCTCTCAGCCTCCTGCCTCCTAGACAGGTATCCGCCTGTGATGGGAGCAGGCCTGTCTCCCAACTGAGGTTCTGAAATCAAAGAGCCATCCCTGGCTTCTCAAGGACCCTCAGGTGACTTAAACTTCCTGCTCCCCACCAGCAACAGGAAATACTCATTGACAGCTCTTTGGTTTTCAATCAGCTTTCTACCCGTACACATTTAACACTTTTCTCACTTTCCTCAGCTCCTCCCTGGGAAGTTTTTCTCTCTCTTCAGCAATCAAAATCACTGGCCACTCCTATGTGTTTGCCTATCAGTTAACTGTCTAGAAGCTACATGCTGTGGTCAGGGGAGAATACTCCCTGCAAAGTATGTCTGACAGAAAAAACCCAGGAGGACACAGGATACTTCCTGAGGATCTGTTGCTCTTCAGGGTAAAAGAAAAGCCTTTTTAACATACAAGTGGAACAGCTAATTCTGTTGAAGGGACAATCATAACATCTTATAAGTGATTAGATCCAACCGAATCAGAACAAAAATATTTTCTCCTAATAAAAACAAAGGGAAAGGGTCCAAGCTATATGGTGACTCCAGGAAAAGCATTTGTTTTTTTCCTAAAGAAATGCCATATTTCAACTTAGCAATTAAAAATGTAGGTGTTTATTAAGGAAATGTCATGAGAAAAAAGTCTACTCTTTTTCTAGTAGAAATATTTAGAACAAGATAAAAATGTTAACCAAACTGGAACAATCCTTGTACTAAAGCAAACTATAGTATACAAAGAGATGAAATGTTAAATAGTAATTTGAAAGGACAAATATATGGAGTATGTCAAAATACGGAATGCTTATATAAAATAATGACTGAATAAAGACCCCAAATAATAGGAACACAACTATGTAAATGTGTATTTTTTTCTAAAATTGAAGGAGCAATTAGAGGAAGAAATAGTTTAGATTTTGATATTAAGTTGTTTTTTTATAAGCTGTAAGGCTACCTAACATTTTTATTTTTAAATAAAACAAAATAGTACTGTCTTTTCTGGATAAAAGCACATTTAAGTTAATGCCAGGCTCCTCCACAAGAGAGGAGGTTCCAACCCTCAGCACACTAGAGCAATTAAAAGTTACCACATGTGGTGGGCAGGTCCATCCATACCTGAGGGAAAATGCAAACATCTTCCCAGGTAGTCTGTGCTAAGTGAAAGGTCTGCATTGCTTCAAGCTCACCCCGAAGAGGAAAATCAGATACTGTTTCCTTCTGGTATTATCTCAAATCATGATTAAAATATTCTTTTTTTTTAAACAAACAATAAAAACTTATTTATTTTTAGAAAGAAGAAAAAACCAAAATAGTTACCGTACCTTTCCAATGAATTATGAATCGGTATAATAGGATGTTTCATCTTTAAAAGAAGCAAAAAAAAAAAAAAAGAAAGAAAGCTTCAAGTTAAACTTCCAACAGAGCATATTTAGAGTTTCATCACATATAAAAGTGATAAATATGAGCATAACATAACTGCCCCACTTGACAGGAACAATTTTAGATCCTCCCAAAAGAAGGGAGTCATCGATCTTAACCAGTCCTTTGTATGTTTTCAAATAAGTGTACCCATATTTCTAAGGAAAAGGAAGATGGCTCTTTTGAAGGACCTAATTACCACAGCCAAACCCTTGGTGGTTGGCTTTCTCATAATTTTAGTTATGTTCACTAAATATTATGATGCAGCATTGTTGGGGCACCTGGGTGGCTCAGTCGTTAAGCGTCTGCCTTCGGCTCAGGTCATGGTCCCAGGGTCCTGGGATCGAGCCCCGCATCAGGCTCCCTGCTCGGTGGGAAGCCTGCTTCTCCCTCCCCACTCCCTCTGCTTGTGTTCCCTCTCTCGCTGTGTCTCTCTCTGTCAAACAATAAAATCTTTAAAAAAAAAAAAATGATGCAGCATTGTTTCAAACACTGAAAGTATAAAGATAAACAGTATGAGGATTCCAACCCTTAAGGCAATTTCAATAAAGAGTAACCCTAAAAAATAGGGGTATGCATAGAGGAGGAGCTCCTAGCCCAACTTAGGGATTCAGGGAAGGAGAGATTAAATATTGAAGGATGGGGAAGTGCTAACTAGGGGAAGATAAGTGAGAACAACATTCTTGGCATTGGGAAATGGTGTGAAGATGTCAGGGGAGCTCTATGCAGTTAGTATGTTCAGCCAGGTAATGACAGAGCACGAGGCTGGGGGTGTGGGAATGGGTTAAGAAGTTTTGACATTAACCTTTGGCAATGAGGGAGGCACTGAGAAGTTTAGGTAAAGTGGTCCAGTTTATACTTCACGAATAGAACTACCGTCGGCTGCCTGGAAGGGTTAGGCTGAAAGTAACTAGTTAGAAGGTCACCACAAATCCTGGCAAGATTTGCTGGACAAGGAGGCTGAAAAGAGCCTAGTTACATCAGACACAGGTTTAGGTGGTAAAATTGCTAAAAATAAATGGATACGGAGGACTGAGGGCAGAAATATGTAAGTGGACATAAAGGGAAGGCCACTAAAAAAATGTCTTTCTCAGTCACCAAAGGGTGATGGATAACATGGTTCACTACATCACTTTTTAACTTCTCATCTTTTCATTATGTCCTGCTGCTGCCAAGCTGAGCTGGCTTTTACCTTGTTGGACTTGAGCATGGCCAGCTGTGGTGAACCTGGGGGAGTGCGATAGAGTAGCTCAGAGGTAAAGGCTGCATTTGCGATCTGCATGCATTCTTCCAAAGTCTTCAGAAAAGTATTGCAGGTTGATTTCAGCAGAGTTCCCACATCAATTCCTTCCTATGAAACAACGAGAGTGGAAGATTCCTTTACCTTGCCAAAAAAGAAAGACCCCAATGGTGGAATGTCCTTAGAGGTTTTTATCCACAATGTAGTAACAATGTAGCCACCTATTTTGAAGGACAAATATGTACATCATTTACAAAAGGAAAATACTGAGTCCACTTTATTTACTAGCCCTATAAAGCCTCCATCTGACCCTTCACACTCTCCCCCCACCGTTCCAGCTGAAGGCAACAACTTCTTTCAATTCAAAAGTATTATATGCTAGCACTGTGCCAGGTGCTCGGCACAGCCCTCAGGGAGCTTCCAGTCTATAAGGGGTGGCAGACATGAATCAGGGAATCACACGGATTGAAGACCAGTGGAATCAATGGAAAAATGTCTCCCATTGCCTGAGTAAAAATGAGGTTCCAGAATAGAAGAATTAGAAACCATAAATCATTCATTATTTACTTCCAGAATGGGGTTTTTGGCTTTCGGTACAGATGAGTTTAAGAGCTTTTAGCAACTGGAATTTCTTTTGAATAGCTAATCACTTGTTCTCCCAGTTATTTTACCTGTTCAGGGTGTTTTTCCCCTGAATACTGATATTAATACGTTGTTCAGGAAACTGAGGCCATTCCCTGACTAGAGTGTATAGTAAACACATCTTAATGGTATAAAAGAAACCAGACCGGGCCCAAGATGGAGTCGCTCATGCTAAGCCTCACATCAGCAAACCAAAAACTTCAGTTCCTATGCCTGGTTGTCCCAAAAAAGGCAGGCCTAGGTCAACCAATCAGCACAAGTTACCTGACCCAGCTCCAAGATTTCCTTTTGCTCCACATGAAGAAAGTAACCCTGCTTTAATCAATCAGTAAAGGCCCAGCAGAATTTCCTTGTTCCTGCTCATTTTGTCTATAACAATCTCTAGCCTCAAAAGGCTTTTCAGAGTTCCTTTTTATCTGTTAGATGAGATGTTGCTTGATTCATGAGCTGCTGAATAAAGCCAATAAGATTTTAAAAATTTACCCAGTTGAATTTTTCTCCTTAAGAGTGGCCTCTATATTTTCCTCAATTTTGTATTTCTAACAAGCTAGCCAATGATGTTACTGGTTGTGGACCACTATGATTCTGACATCAATTATGTGTGGGTTTTCCCATACCACCAAACAATTCTCTGACACCAGCTGGATGTCCTATAACTCAACTCAATTCTGACACTATCTCCCTGAAGACAGTGTCAGCTCTCACAGGGCTGCTCCCCACCCCTCATTTCAGATACCAATGGCAAGTCCAGGTTGTCACTTGTGCTTCTGACTGATCTGCTACAGACTGGAGGTTCTAACCCCCTCCTCCTTTCAGTTGATTAATCTGCTAGAGCTGCTCACAGATCTGAGAAACATTTTACTAGTTACTAGATGGCCAGTTTACTACAGTTTACTATAAAAGGATACAACCCAGAAACAGATGCAAAGGGCAAGGCAGCTGGGAACGGCTCAGAACTTCTATGCTCTCTGACCACACCACTTTCCCTGAATCTCCATGTGTTCGCCAACTCAGGAACTCTCCGAACCCTGTTCTTTGGGTTATGGAAGCTACACTGCACAGACATGATTGATGAAATCATCAGCCACTGAGATTAAACTCAATCTTCAGCCTCTCTTCTTTCCCAGGAGATGAGAGTGGGGGGGGGGGTGGATCTGAGAGTTCTAACCCTCTAATCACTTGGTTGGGTTCTGGGTCAACCAGCCCCCATCCTTAGGCACTTTCCAAAAGTCGTCTCACTAACATAACAAAAGACAATTTTATCTTTCTCATCACAGGAAATTCCAAGAGTTTTAGGACCTCTGCTAAATATATATCTCTTATAAAGACCAAATATACATATTTCTTATTATAAATCACAATATCACAGCCACAGTTTCATTAGCAAGTTCCCAGGGCACTCTAAACATCTCCTTGGATTAAAAATTGCTATGTTCACATTTTCCCTTCCCTGTCAGGCCAGGGTTTCCCTACCCGTGGCACGACCGACATGGGGGGCTGACGAATTTTTGGAGTGGGCGAAGTGGGTGGGGGTGCTCTCCTCCTACCCACTGCAGGATGTGAAGCAGCATCTTAGCCTCCATACCGTAGAGGCCAATAGCACTCCTTCAATCCTGACGACCAAAAATGTCTCCAAACACTGCAAATGTCTTCTAAGGGGCAAAACTGCTCTGGGCTGAGAATCACTGCTCTGAACTGTAAGCATCCCAAGAGCAGGACTGAAATGTTTTTTTGGTATCCCTCCCTCCCACCCCTCTCCCCGCCCCATCCCAGCACAGTGTCTTGTACACAAAAGGCAGTTGCTGAATGAATAAGAGAGCCCAAAAGGAAGTGAATGAAATCACCCTTACAAGAAAAACTGAAAGCACATATACCACTAGTAGCATAATGTTCTTTTACTAAAACCATTAATTAGAATCTATAGATTCTTCATTTTGTAGGCATTGTTGTTCAGATTATAACTTCTCTGAGAGTACAGAGAGACCTTCCCTGGGTAGTATGAGCCATTCAACACATAGCCTAACACCAGAGAGATCTTTTAATACATGTTTTAAGATGAGTAAATGACAACTTCATTAATAAACATTAAAAATCGCAATCCTTACTGACAATGGGCAGAAAAAAAAGCTGTGTCTCCATCTTTGAAAGCATCAGTCTATAGTAAAGCACAATTATTATGTCACCAATAAAATCCTGTTACAGGGGTGCCTGGCTGGTTTAGTCCATAGAGCATGCAACTCTTGATCTCTGGGTGGTGAGTTCAAGCCCCATGCTGGGTGTAGAGCTTACTTTAATCTTGTTATAGTCTCATCAAAGATGACAGGTACATTATTGATTTATTGATAGACATGATGTTGGCATGTTAGTAGCCACACCTCTAGAAGCAGCTAGACAGGTAAGGCTGTATTTATAAAGTGATGCAAAGTGGGGAAAAACGTATTTTAGTACATCAGCTAGGCTAATGGCACCAATGTTAAAAGTTCCAAATGTTATCAACTAATTAATCCTGAATTCACTCCATGAAGGAAAACAAATGCTTCCATATGCTGAAATGCACACATTTCTTCTCTTTGTTGAATTTTGTTACTTTTTTTCTCCGAAAAATAGTAAATTCCAAAATAGTCAAGGACTCTGTGAGAGTAATCATTACCTGTAAGCAACATCTGGTGCTACTTTTCCTGTCACTAAGACAAATAATATTTTACCTCAGAATTGGACACACCAGTTGTGGTCACTTCTTTTGTTTTATCTACTTGCTGAACAAGGAGGTCACAGTAGAGTCTTAGTTCCGACATTTTGGTTTTCAAGTTTTCAGTGTTTTCAGCAAACTCTAAATAACAAAATGATGATAGTGTAATTACCAGGATGAATAAGGAATTTACTAGTTAACACACCGCAGAGTGCAATATATAACCTACACCTAAAGTCAGATGATGATGGTATGGGTTATAGATAAGATACAGATGAAGATAATGGGGGCAAGAAAAACAGAAAAAGGAGATTTCTCGTCTTTTGTAATCTATATTATTTCTTGGGCCAACATACTGAATGATCACCAGTATAGGAAGAAGGATACAGCATACTTTTCAAACCCTCATGTCAGAACTGGGAGCAGAGTCAAGGGTTCAGAGGTTTGGTTTCATCTGCTGCACAGTTTTCCCTATCTGTAAAATGGGGTCATAGCTATCTATCTGCTAACAGTAGCCAAAACTGGGAAACTGTTCTGTAACATGCAATTATCACTAATAAGATGGCTCATTAATTCACAGAACTGGTCCAGCATGCCACCCATCGAGGCTAATGGTACCCTCAGAGCACATGCTGCTCCCTCATTAGCACAGCGCTCCAGCTACTCTGGTGCTGAGGGCTCAGCTAGTCATTATCACTTCTGGATTTTTTCCCATGAAAGAGCTGCACGTTACAATCTGATCTGAGTCAAAGCTGACTGTCTAGAATATGCTCCCGATTTAGCATTAAAAAACAACCAAGGAAGAGGCCATTTTTCTGTGTCTATTTGAAGAGTCAAGCACATCTACCACACCTGTTATGAGAAAGAGGCCCCCGTCTCCCGCCAATCTCTTCAGGTGTACATCCTGGGGCTGGGGGCTGGGAAGGTGGCACTAGGGCTCAGGCAGTAAGCCCTGGCACTCTTCCCCTGGCCCATATAGAAAGTTGTGCCAGGGTTCTCAGGAGACCTAATGAGGTTGAGTTAATGAGCAGTAAGCAGTAGCAACCTGACAATTAAGTATCCATCCCACCCCAGGGAAAGGGAGGGGAAAGTGGGGAGTTACTACAAAAAGTACCCTGCTCCAAGGCTTCTTTACCAAAGATCAACTTTGTGCCAGACTAGGTACTAAACAATTTCATATCATTACTAATCCTCATGGCAACCCTTCTAATGCAGGTAATTACCTCTTTTTAAAATATGAGGAAGCTGAGGATTAGAGAGATTAAGTGACCTACGCCAAGGTCAAAAAGCCAGTAACCTACAAAGCCATGATTTGAATCCAGTTGTATCTGGCTCCAAAGCCTGTGATCTTTCTATTATGATATGCTAAGAGAGAAGAGTTAGATATAGGCTGTGGTTTAAATTCCAGAGGTATATGGCATTTGCATGATACAAAAAGCTGGCTAGGTGGTCAGAGGCAAGATAACAAATATGAGAACCCAGAAATGCCAGTGGGTGATTCCCAAGGTTCCCAGACCAGAGGACAATCAATACTTACCTTTTTCCTTCTGGGTCCTACTGTCGGTCAGGCAAGCCTTGGCTGACCCCAGGGCTACCAGCCACCGCTGTCTCTCAGCCACACTTCTGGCCTTCAGGTAGAAATACTGCTCCCCAGGGATTATCAGGTCCATGCGTGTATTATCTACAGAATGAACTGGGAGCAAGGCAGAGGGAGGTCAGAAACCTAGAAGAGCCCTATCTGGGTAGCCTCCACCCCAACCAAATTCTTAAGCTCAACTGGTGCAAGTCACTAAAGGCTTCTTCCAAAGGAGGATGCTAGCTAGCCCTTACCACCTCCCCTAGTTTATCTCTTCCTCGATGCTTCTGCTGATGAAGAGGAAAAATCCTGGCTGGCTCCAACATATCACAAAGACTAAAAAAGAAGCACTCAATTCTCCTTATCGGAATACAGACAGAATCTCTCTTTTGGCTTGTGTGTATAAAGTAATGCTGCTTTGAGGCCAAAAAGGCTTGCATGCCAACAGTAAGGGTGAGCCTCTCTATCTTCTTGGGTTTATTGGAAAGCAATCAAGAACACAATTATTTCTCCTCTTCTACTGTCCTTCACAAGTTAGAGCAAAAGTGTGAGACCTTTGGGAAAAGAAATAAGAAAACCACACTCTCCTTCACCTCCCACCAGGCTGCAAAATACCCTTCTAATCTGTTTCTCTTCTAATCTGTTTCAGAGCCACATCTTCTCAGCATGTCTCAAGATGTCCCCAAACCAAGAAGTAAAGGCTATTTGCAGGTCTTTATGTGTTTGCTTGTTTTACGTATGTGGTGGTGGTGAGAAGGTGTGTGTGTGTCCTGATCTAAGCACAGAAGTGTTAGACACTGCAGTAAAAAACTTAACTAAGCTTTGCACATAGTCGCTGGCTTTAGGTGAGCAAGTGACTAAAAAATGAGCACTAGATGTATGGTGAAGCACACTGCTCTCATTTATTTTGACTACTTCTTCAACAACCTCCTTGTAAAAACTGGCTGCAGTTTTAGGTTTTATTTGCAAGGCTTTCTTTGGGACATGACACTGTGTATCTTCGTACCATAAGAACGTCAGAGAAAGACATGCAGAGGCCAGTGCTTTTTTATTTTATGGGAGAGACAGAAAGAAATAGAAAACCTGCAAATCTCTTGGTTTCTCACCTTGAATTTCACAGACTGCCATTTGGATGCTCCCTTTGCAACCTTTCCAGGCATCTTCAGGAGAATCATAATAGGATAATATCCCCCCACAGAGAAGGAACCATCTAGGCTGCCAACCTGTAAACAGAAGCAAGAGCATGGTCTCAATTACTGCCTGCATGGGAGGTGCCTCCCAGGACACAGGAATGGGACCTGACAAAGGAGGCTAGGTCCCAGGTCCAAGGAGCTTAAATTCCAGGGGAAATTCTAAGGGAAAGAAGTAGATTAGTAAATACCTGTATGCATGATCCCATTTTTTTAAATTAAAAACAAATACCCACAGGGGCATAGATTTTTAGTCACATAAGGTATAGAAGAAGTCTGCAAGGATCAGGAACATAGGGATGATTCTCTAGTTAACAGGATTACTGATGATTTTTATTTCCTTTTCCTTTAATATGGTACTAGTAATCTCTGGTTTTTAATTTTTTTAAGATAAAAGATTATTGTCTCCTGGACATTGTTATCACACACTTGATCTCCTCTCCTCTGGTTAAGAAAGATTATCCCAAACTTAGAAATGAGGCTGAACATTATACTGCTCTGAAAGAGGACTTCAACCACCTCCATTTTGACCTCAGTCTATACTTTCTTAACTGATTAAGTTCTTCTTTCCTGCTTATCTCTGAACTCAGGCAAAAGACCCCACAGGCAAAGCATTCCCTGATAGGAACTGAAACCACTCCCTCAAAGCATTAACCACTGCCCTGACTTCAGCAAGACCCTGCACAACTGACCCTAAGACAGTGATCGATTGACCTGACCTTTACTGCCCCCATTTTCCTTATCTAAACCCAGGAGTATTTTCAGCACTTTGGAGGCCATCTTTGAGACAGTCCGCTGACTTTTTGGTGTTGGTCTTCACTGAAATACATTATTTTCTTGTTTCACCACCACTCGTCTGTCTTTAGATTCTGTCAGCAGTGAGTGGCTGAACCTGGTCTGTGTGGGCCCCCCACTGAGCCAGGTGCTCTTGTGCCCCTGTAGCCTGGCTACAGCCCTTTCAACGTCATTCAGAGTTGCAGAGTGCTAATAAGCCTGTGTAGGGGCATATGAGCCGTAGGAGAAAAGAACTTTGACTTACTACTTAGTATTGATCCACTGAAATGAAATAATCTTAAAACATTCAAGGGCTTAACTACTTTTACTTTGGAGAATTTCAGGGGACACACCATATTCAGTTGAAATATACATCTTATCTAGTGCTCTTACCCAATCTATATTCTAGACAAACCAAACTTATTTTCTGCTTCTGGGCTGTTGCCTGAGCTGGATCTTCTTTCTAAAATGTCATCTCTGACTATTTCTGCATAAGCCTTGTCAGAGTCCTCAGTCGGATGTATATTTTTCTTTCTCTGAAATGCTATAGCCCTTTAGGGATACATTTTTCTGATGAGACTCTTCTGTGGCTGAGGCAGACAGAGAGAGGGCCAGTAGGTGCTTTGAGCACAGCCCTGTGCGCTGCTTAGGTACAGATGCCTGATGCCTGATTCACACAAATCAAGAGGCTTGAGACCCAAGAAGAGCTGTGCTTCAGGCCGGGTCAGAAAGCAGGGAAAGATCAATGTCCCAGCTCAGGCAGGCAGGAGAAGTTCCCTCTTTCTTAGCCTTTTTATTCTGTTTAGGTCTTTGATTGGATGAGATCCACTCACATTAGGGAAGGCAATCTACTTTACCGGTTCAGATGTCAATCCCATCAAGAAATACCCTCACAGGGCGCCTGGGTGGCTCAGTTGTTAAGCGTCTGCCTTCGGCTCAGGTCATGATCCCAGGGTGCTGGGATCGAGTCCCACATTGGGCTCCCTGCTCAGCCGGAAGCCTGCTTCTCCCTCTGCCACTCCCCCTGCTTGTGTCCCCTCTCTCGCTGTGTCTCTCTCTGTCAAATAAATAAAATCTTTAAAAAAAAAAAGGAAATACCCTCAAAGACACACCCAGAAAGATGTCTGGCCAAATGTCCAGGCACCCCATGGCCCAGGCAAACTGACACATAAAATTAATCATCACACACCATCAATTTTAAGACATACCATTATTTTATGTAACACAAGGAAAAAAACAACACCTGCCCATTAAGCAATATGACATGGTGCTGATTCTAAGATGCTTCCCGATTTCAGTTGTTGAAATGTGAAAAAATATCTACAAATTGAAAAAAATGTGGCCCTAAATTAGGTTTATCTTACAGTAATCTGAAAAAAGTTAAACAGCTCCCCGCCTCCCTTCCCCCCCACGAAGCACAGCTGCTGCTAAGTTTTGAAAGTAGCTGGTAAACCGTAATAACAACTGAACCACCACCTTCCCTATAATGGGTTCTACATTTACCTAGAAGTTATATATATCGTTATTTTAGCCTATAGTTTTTAACTATAAAAACCATGACCAAGAATAACTTTTCTTTAAAGCATAAAGTTACTGGATTTTCAGAAGGCACATTAAGAGACCATAGAGGTCTCATTCCCAGTATATGAAATTTACAGGCAGAGCCATGCAGAGTCTAGAGTGGGGCTGGGACACACTCCTCTTTCATGAAGTCCTGTCCTTGGAAGCTCAGATACAGCTCAGAAATAACTGTATGAGAAAAGAGGCAAGAATGAAGAGGCCATTAATCCATTTCCTGTTTTAAATTAATCTGCAGTTAGCTTGACTGATGTGATAGTTAATTTTATGTATCAATTGTATGTATCATGATGGGCTGAGGGATGCCCAGACAGCTGATAAAACGCTATTTCTAGCTATGTCTGTGAGGGTATCTCTGGCAGAGATTAATTAGCATTCGACTCCGTAGACTGTGTAAAGATAGCCCTCACCATTGCAGGTGGGCATCATCCAATCCACGGAGGGCCTAAGTAGAACAAAAGGCAGAGGAATGGAGAATTTGTTCTCTCTTTGAGCTGAGACATCCATCTTCTCCTGCCTTAGGACCCTGATGCACCTGGTTCTCCGGATTGTTGACCCAGGTCAGGATTTATACCATCTACCTCTCCAATTCTCAGGCCCTTGAACTCACACCGAATTGCATCACCAGCTTTCTTGGTTCTCTAGCTTGCCAATAGCAGATCATGGGACTTCTCAGTCTCCATAACTGCAAGACACAATTCTTACAATAAAACCCTTCATGTATTATATATACATACACACATACATATGTATATACATAATACATATACGATTCTGTATACTATTGGATCTGTTTTTCTAGAGAACCCTTACTAACACACTTGGAAATGATAAAATAATTCAAGGTAACAAAAGAGCAGATGAAAACTGTGGATGTAACCAGTCCCTGCTCTCTTAGATTACCATTAGATTAAACTTCCTGTCCAAGCCCCACTCCTTTTTTCGGCCATTCTCTATTGGAGATGGAATGTGGTATCAGCCAAACTCCCCACTTGGAAGGATTAGACAAGAAACTTCAATGAGCAGAGAAAAGTTTTAGCTTATTTAAGCTATCCCTGCCAGAGATGGGGTAGGGGAATAAAAGTATTTAAATGCTAACTTCACACACTGCATTATCCTGGATTATTTCACTACAGAAGGTAGAGTGGACATTTATTTTTGGCAACCTGGCATCCACCCTTCACATTTCTGTTCATGAAAATCTCCTTCTCCACACTCTATCCATGCAGTTGGGTGGGGCTGACCAGCTCCAGGGGGGACATGTGATTCAGGCTTAACTGGAGCTTCACATCCCCTGTCCTCAATGATACACTCCACAACAGGCCAGTGACCCAACCAAAGATAAACTTGGGACTGTTGTTGGGTCTGGACAAAGGCAGAAAGAAATGGAGACTCTCTCTTTTCTTTGGTCTTGCAGATGTTTGCCTGGAGCTGCCAGCACTCATTCTGCCATCACAGGGGACCTAAACATGATTCACACATAAAGGGAATGCGTGTGGGAGGACTTGAGGGTGGCAGGGAAAGGATGCAAATCCAGATGACAGTTCTGAACACCATTCACAATAAGACCATGTTATAACCATAGATCAGATACCCACTGAACTTTTCAGGTAAGTGAGCTAGCTTAAAAAAAAAAGGTGAGCCAATAAATTATCTTTCTTTTTTTACTTCAAGCCTGAGTTGGTTTTTTTCCTAAATAAAAGAATATTAAATATCACATGATCAACCTCACTAAATGTAGAAAAAGCAAAAGCACTTGACAGAATCTAACACCTTTCATAATAAAAACTCTCAACCAACTAGGAATAGAAGGAAATCTTTTCAACCTGATTAAGGCACCTAAAAAAACAAAACAAAACAAAACCCACAACTAACATCATACTAAATGACAAAAGACTGGAGGCCCCACCCCCGCCCCAGACAACACACAGATGCTTCCTCTCGCCACTTCTATTCAACTTTTTTTTTTTTAAAGATTTTATTTATTTATTTGAGAGAGAGAGAATGAGAGATAGAGAGCACGAGAGGGAAGAGGGTCAGAGGGAGAAGCAGACTCCCTGCTGTGCAGGGAGCCCGATGTGGGACTCGATCCCGGGACTCCAGGACCATGACCTGAGCCGAAGGCAGTCGCCCAACCAACTGAGCCACCCAGGCGCCCCTCTATTCAATCTTTTATTGGAGGTTCTAGCCAGGGCAATTAGGGTACAAAATGAAATAAAAGGTATCCAGATTGGAAGGGAAGAAGCAAATCTACCTATTTGCAGACACACTCTTGTATATTTCAAAACAAAACAAAGCAAAACCTAAGGAGTCCAATAAAAAAGACTATTGGAATAAATAAGTTTAGCAAGGTTGCAAGATAGAAGACCACTATACAGATATCAATTGTATTTCTATTACAGTTGCAATGAACTGAAAATGAAATTAAGTAGACAGTTCCTTTTATAACATCAAAGAGAATAAGATACTTAGGAAAAAACTCAACAAAAGAAGTATAAAACTTATACTCTGAAAACTGTAAAACATTATTCAAAGAAATTAAAGATTTGAACATCATTATTTCAAAACTGTTACCAGCTTGTTCTTTCCTCACATAGTGCAATTATCTTTCTATACTTAATTGACAGCAACTGTTCGTAAAATTCACTTTTTTCAGCTCAACTAATTGTTGAACAATGTGT